AGCTTCTGGGTGGGGCTGGGTCTCCTGGCCCGTGTGGAGTGGCCTTGTCCCGCCCTGCTGAGCGCTGGTGGGAGCGGCACTGTGGTCCACCACTGTCAAGCTGGCAAGACCATGACTCGTCCATACAAGGCTTTGTCATTTTAGGGGCCAGGGCTGCTCCTCTCCGTATTAGTAAGTCTTTGACTTCCTTCTTGAACTTGGCTGGGTCTGTGTCTTCCCCAGGAGGCCTGCCCAGTCAGGTATAGCTGCTGCAGGATGTTACTATACACCTGAAAAAACAGAAACAGAACAGTTAAGGTACAACACAGATGGGAAGTGAGGAAATTCAGTTTCCCACGGAAAAGGTTCAAATGCAAAGGCTGGAAGTTAAGTTGCATGTGTGCCATGGATTGAATTGTGTCCTGTCAACTTGGCTAGGCCATGATTCCCAGTATTGTGTGATCGTCCACCATGCTGTCATCTGATGGGACTTTCCAATGTGTTGTAAATCCTACCTCTATGATGTTAATGAGGCAGGTTAAAGGCAGTTATGTTAATGATGCAGGACTCAATCTACAAGATTAGGTTGTGTTTTAAGTCAATCTCTTTTTAGATATAAAAGAGAGAAGCAAGCAGAAAGACAAAGGGACCTCATACCACCAAGAAACAAGCTTCCCTGGGATGAGAACTGATCGACTGGGGAAGATTGATGACAAGGATATTTCCCCAGAGCCGACAGAGAGAGAAAGCCTTCTCCTGGGGCTGGCATGCTGATTTCAGACTTCTATCCTCCTAGACAGAGAGAGAATGAATTTTTCTTTTTTTAAAGCCATACACTTGTGGTATTTGTTATAGCAGCGCTAGGTAACTAGGAAAATGTGCTTGCGAAAAACAAAAACAAACCCACTGCCGTGGAGTCAATTCTGACTCATGGCGACCCCATGTGTGTCAGAGTAGAACTGCTCCATACGGTTTTCTTGGCTGTCGTCTTTTATGGAAGCACATTGCCAGGGCTTTCTTCTGAAGTGCTGCTGGGTGAGTTTGAACCGACAGCCTTCAGGTTAGTAGTTGAGTGCAAACTGTTTGCACCACCCAGGGACCTTATGTGATTGGAACAGCTCAGAAAATCCAGGTGGGCCAGAGGGAGCATCTCAGGAGAAGGCTGGTGGGAATCTGCCTGGAGCGAGTCTCTTAAGGGAGCCAGAGGGATTGGCACTGACTCCCCAGGCTGGAACGCTGGCAAGCGGCCACTCTTGCTGCCCTCTATCCATCTTTGTCCTTTGGACACCCACTTCCTGCCTTTCATTCCTCACAAGGCAAAAGCCCGCAGCCCACTGCTTGGCAGAATTCCCGTATCAGGTCTTCTTTCCTCTCCCTAACTGATTTTTCTCCATCTTCTTTTGATCTGTGAGAATCCTGGGACTCAGTGGGGCTGGCGAGAGCTCATGGGCTCATCTATTTCAGGACCCTTGGGGCCTCTGTCTGCCTGAGAGCCAGTAGCAAGCTTTACAGGTTCTACTCAGCAGGGAACAGACTTCTTGAAACTGAAGGTGGAAACTGACCAGACAGGATCCAAAAATACAGGAACCATAAACTAAGCCTAAGTCTACCACATGAATTTTTAATAACTCAAATATCGTATTTTTACACAAATAACACATGCCTTATACTTTTTTTGCCAACCACACAAGCTACTCCTCTCCGCCATGCTCTCTCTGTAAGCGGACTATGCTTCATGTTATATGGGTGGGCACGTTATTTGCAACCAAATACGGTACCTGAAACTCTGTAGCACATGGACATACATGATCATCGCTAACAAGCACTGCACAAAGTTAGAATTTCCATAACTTACCTGCAGGACATTTAGGTAAGGTGGCTGGTGACTGTTGGCTCTAGGAGTAAGATTCCAAACTGTGCTGACTACAGATCAGTGTGCTTGGTGCAGTAGATTTCAGCTTCTTTCAGTTGTTGCTTTGGCTCAACGTTGGCCGGTGTTCTACGTGGAGCACCAGGCTTCTCTTGTACCAATATGGCAGAGGAGAAAAGAACATTTAGAACACTGCTTTCCAAGGGCCTTCTCTTTGTGGGGCACCTTCATTCCCATGAGAAGATTCTCAGGCCGGGCCTTTGTGATTCACAGCACGGCCTGGCAACACGGAGAGAAAGCTGTGCATGCTTTGGCACAGTGCTGTGTCACTGTGTGACCTCATGTGTGGGACATCTGCCACCCTGCATCAGACGGTCTAAAGCAATAGCTGCATGATACCACAAGTAGGGTTGATGTTCGGTTTTGTTCACTTGCGTCCAGTGCCTGGCTCAGCATGGGCTCTGAAACGTGACTGAATTACCTCCAATGAAGGGGATGTGCTTTGGATTCCAAGGGAAGGGTTGAGGAAAAAACAAATTACGGCTTAAGTAGTCAAAAGGAATGGAAAAAGTATTGTTCTGGGGGATGCCCCGCAGATATGAGAAGTTGGAATCTGAACCAAGAAGTTGTCAGTTGCCGTTGAGTTGAATCCGACTCCTGGTGACCCCCCGTGTTACAGAGTAGAACTGCTCCATAGGGTTTTCTGGGCTGTAATCTTAACAGAAGTGGATAGCCAGGCCTTTCTTCCAAGGCACCCGCTGGGTGAATTCAAATCACCCACCTTTAGGTTAGCAGTTGAGTGCGAACTGCGCCACCAGGGACTTTCTGATGAAGTCAGTCTTGCCAACAGAAGGCAGTCTATAACTTGCATAGGAGTAGGAACAATTTCTGGATTATTTTAAAAAAAAAAAAAAATCATCCCTGGCTTCTCTCTCCTGGAAGAAGGCATAAGCTTGAGTCCTAGTATTAGATTTGCAGCATTTCGATAAAAACTCTTGTAGCAAGGTTGATGCCTGTGTTAGGAAGCATTGTTCTTGAAGTGATTTCATTGTTGGGAACTGCCAGAGAAATGGGATTAAGGAAGGGACTGGGGGAGTTGCCCAGGTCAGCATGCATTGAAGACCAGAAGTAGAATGGGCTAGTTTCCTTCCTGGCCTGTGCTTAGTCTGACGCGCTTCTATGGGGAAGGAGGATCGCACAGTTGACATTCTCGACGAGTGCACTCCATGTATATACAAAACTGCTACATTCCGAGGCTTTTACGTAAATGTTAGGCTTTACAAAACACAAGTGTCTCCACACAACACTGGATCTGGTTAAGCAGTAATGTGAGAGCTGCTATGCAGGCACGGCAGATTCTATTTTTAACACTTTATTGGCAAAACAGAGAACTCATTTCCCCTCCACCCTTACGGAGAACTAAGTAGTGTTTTTGCTTTTCTCATAACGTAACTTACCTGTTTAACCAAAGCCTGTGCTGGCATGCCCCAAAAATAACGCAGAGAGGAGCCTGGCCGCCCATGTCCCCACGGTACCAACTGTCCCGATACAGGGAGCTGTGTAGCTGTCTTATTCAGAAATAAGGAGAAGCTGTAGCCATAGTAATGGCACTTGGCAGGCTGTGGACAAACTTTGCTGTCATATCTTTCACCATGTCGACATGCAAGGCCTTTTTGGGGAACAGAGCCTCAGAGGAGTGAGGGAGTGAGGGGCCCGTGCCAAAACTCTGCAAACATGCCATGCCTGATAGGAACATTTCCTGGCAAGAACCCCAAATAGTATCTGAGAACCAGAAGTACGATGAGGGCATAGTGGGGGAGGAGGGCTGTAAGGACCCTCCCACCTCCATCAAAAGAGCACTGCGACTTTCAGAACTGGGGGCAATTCTAGTGTGTCTACTGTGGTGAATTTAGCAGAGAAATATTTGCAGTTCTTCTGCCACAGTTTTAAAGGCTTAAAAAAACTAGCATCTGGCATCCAGGTTACTTTCAGGAGTCCCACAGAAGGGAGAATGGCAAAACATTTCGTTCTTTTAGTCAGGGTCTCTCTGTCAGTCTTCCGCAACAGGCAGACCAGCTAGGAGGTGACCTGGGAGCTCTGATTAGTATTGTAACCCAGAAGTGAAGATCATGTGACAAAGGCTAGAAAAGAACCATTTATTTAAAAAAAAACAAAAAAAGCCCTCAGCAGGATTTGGAGACAACAACAGAGAAGTGCAATGTGCTAATCGCGCCATACTCCACTAACACAGCGTGAACCCCGTCTGGGAGCCACACCCACAGGGACCTCAAGCAGTGGAAACGACAGCACGCCAGCTTATGACACAGGTCAAGACAGTCCGGTCACTTGCTTCAGGGAGAAACCAGGACATGTGGACCTTCTCCAGCCTCTTCCACCAGGTATTCTTGGGTGGGTTCCAGGCTCCTCACAGCCTCTGAACAATGGGCGATTTCTTATCGGGCTTGGGGCTGCTTAGATGAAGCCAAGCTAGATGTCACTCACTAGTTACTCCAGCAAAGAGCTCTGCGCACGGTCAGATTCTAACGGGACAGGGCAGCGGGGTCTTCCCTCCAGGTCCTGGAACTCAGGGCCCATCGCATTTGACATTTGTTCCCCATACCCAGTTGTCACCGCAGGTAAACCAGGACCACAATCAGAACAGCAAGGACAGTGTTATGTTGCTTTTTTCCTTTTTTTTTTCTTCTTCAAGGAGTGAGGGCATGGAAAATACAGCACACCAATGAAACAAAATGCCAAAAAAAAAAAAAAAAATACAAAAAAATAGAAAATAGAAAAATGTATTTACAAGTAGTACATTACTGTGATCAGAAAGCACAAGGACACCTGCTGCTATAATACATGCATCAGTTCAAGAAGAAACTACTAAAAATCTTCAGGGGGAAGCCTGTAAAAAGAAAAGAAGGGCCAAGAAATTTCAAGTTTTTCATCCCTAATTTGCTACACTGATCAAAACCAAATAAGAGTCCCCTAAAGTCCATGAGTATATCAGTACAAATACTACACCGGTTTGTAACTGCAGGTTCGGTTGTGAAGGAGAAAGATGGCAGCTTATCCATATACAAGAAGCCAGAGTGAACTGCTCTACATGCTAAAAATTACAGCAAGCCTGTGTGCGCTACACAGCATGATCTTAGCAGGTTTTAATTTTTGCTTATTCATATATATCTATATGTGTCTGTGTGTGTGTGTGTATATGTATGTATAAAACCCGTGCCCTTGTTCTCTGCCAACATGACATCTGGGGTGGACATGAACTCATTACAACAATTTCTTACGTGTATGTTGTAAGAAGTCACTCAGTGTCTGTGGATTTAATAAGTCACTTCACACCACAGAAAATATTTAATAAATCCAAAAAAAGGAAAGAAGAATATAACGACAGAAAGGCTTCTGTCTCAGTTCTCTGAAACTGAGTCCCCAGAGGAAACTGGTCCCAAAGTTCTTGACGGTTCGCTGAAGAAACCTCGGTTTGCTAATTTTTTCCATCCTGTTAGTGTTCGTAAGTTTTAGAACGACTCCTTGCCGTTTTCAGTTTTTAAATAGTCAAATCTCTGTCTCCCCCACAAGGTAACAGTCTGGTGCAGATCCATAAAAACGGGAGGAAGGAGCGCTGGGGAGGGGCCTGTCATGTAGGGAAGGGGTTCCATCTCTGCAACCGCGGGAAGAGAAGGCGCCAAACGGGGCTCCAGCGCCTCTCCTTCAAACAGGCCCCCTTAAAACGCAAAATCCAGTCATGGTCAGTTCCTTAAACGGGTACACCTCTGAGTACCAGGCCAGCTCAAAGACGAAACACCACCACGCTGAGAGAAAAGGACTAAGATGGCCACTCTGCGCACTTTCTTTGTGCTCCATCATACTTCCAGGAACCGGGAGCTGCTGGACTTGGAGTGGAATGGCTCAGACCACATCCGCCGTAGGTCACCCTGGGAAAGAAGAAAGGGCCTGTCTAAGTTACAGGTTTACGCAGGAGGCACACAATTCTGCAAGTTCTTTCTGATTCTTGATCAGGTTGCTTCTGGGAAGGATCAAAGGGAGTTCACATCTTACTCACAGAAAGGCAGCCCACAATTCTTAGAACTTACTAGAAGAGACGCTCTTTTAGGCTCCTTGAGCCTTAGGAAAAGCATTAACCAACTCTATCCTTATGTAAGTTCCATCACTTAGGAGTCACAGAAGGTAGGCAAGTTAACTAGAGTCTGTTTCCTCATCTGCAAAATGGGGATGATAATCAAATCTTCCAAAGAAGATAATGCTCTCTTTAGGTCTAGTTTTATCATACACTGCCTCATCATTAAATCTGTCTTATTTCCAAACTTTAATGCAAAGTATTAAAACACTATCAGGTGGCAACAGGGTGCTGCTTTTAAGAGAAACAGAAGTCTCTATAGCTGGGCTCTTTGGATTTCAGTTAATTAACCCATGACCAGGTGGCACAGCGGTCTAACTCACTACCATTTTCTGCCAATGGCTTCAAGAATCCAGAAGAGACGGCTAACGCCAGGTTAGCAAACAGATACACACTGTCAAGATCAAGAGCTCAGGGGCTTAAGCAGGACCACGCCGAGCAAGAAGAACATACATCCAAGCACAGGGTCAACGTTAGTACATTGCTTTCACAGGTTCATAGCTGCTTCTCTCACCTTTAAATAGGCCATCGTGAGAAGTGGCAATAAGGTAAATGGCACCAAGTAGAGAAGGGCAGGCTGGGCTGCTCGGTGAATGCGAGACGCCACAGTAGCAGTTAGCAGACCTAGGAGGAGAGAGAAACGTTCAGGAGTAACTTAAGGGGCCAGCCCTGAAAGAGGGGAACCTCTGTTACTTGGCTGCCTCTTGGTAAAGTATTGAGATTATATGAATTTAAAGTGACAAATTCCATTAAAAATGGAATGTGGATTAGCACAGCTTTAAAACACTTTGACCTCCAAAGACCTATGACTGGCCAAGTCCCACTCCTTGCTCAGGATCAGGGGTCCAAACCGTCACTTACCATGCAGCCCAGAATGTGCTTGGCCTCCTTCTGTCTCCTGTGCTACGCGATGCTGGATTTGGAGGCCAAAGACCTGGGTTCAAGTTCCAACTCTGTTACTTACAATGGCTATGTGACCTTGGTTCAGGAATTCCATCTGTCTGAGCCTCAGTTTCCTCACCTGTCTAATGGGATACTAGCTCTTGCCTCTCCGAGTTTCTGGACTAGAATGAAGCCATGTGTCCGAAAGTGCTGATCAGTAGGAGGCACTAAGGGAGGAGAGGGGCTCCTTCCACTCGCTCTGCTGCGGAGCACTATTCCTCACCCAACTGTGCAACTGCTCTGCTTAAGTACTGCCTTGTCTCCTCCTGTCTGCCTGCAAGGGAGCTGGCTACAGAAAAAAATGGGAGTTCTAGGTCAGAGGTGACAGAAATATTAGAACCAATGAAAGTAAAGCAGGAAATAAACATGACATTCATTAAACTCACGTTGACCACCGCCTGACCCATGGTCATGGTGTGGGATGTGTTCTCGTCTCTGAGGACCACCCTTGCTCTTCCTACTGTGTGCTTTGCTGTACTGCTGGGTGGGCACTAGGCTATCCAGGACAGACATCTGTCATCTTACGGGCCAGTAGGGTTTCTTTTGGGTCGTCCACAGCAGCAACCATAGTTACTGCACTCCTTCCACCCAGCATTTGCTGCTGGAAGACCTGATTTAATTCCAAATGGTTAGAGAACAGCCAGAGGGGCTTGCCTGCAGTCTCTGGGTCACTCTTACCTACAAAGTACCCAATGAGGGTGCAGTGGAAGTAGGAGACCTTCTGCATGCGCCCAGAGATGTTGGCGGGTCCAGAGGCCCCACAGGAGTCACCGCTGGCTTGTTTTTTGTAGTTGTCGTAACGAAGAACAAAGCACAGCAAGAGACCAGGCATCACGATGTCCCCGATGCCCAGCATAGAGAAGTGGCTGCCTGTGGAGCTGGAACAGAGTTTCAGATGTTAGGGATGCCACATGCTACAAGCCAGTTGCTACTCTTTCTGGGCAAAGTCTGCCAACTTTTTAAGAAGTCAAAGAACTTACGTGAATTGTAGAAGAAAACTCTACTGGTTGAACAACACAGGTTTTTATGAGTTTAGAGATTAAAAGTCAGGAGTACTGGCAATAGAGACCAGTACTGCCCCGCAGTGCTTCAGCAGGGCACCTTATAAGTGACTGCTGAAGTGATCTGTGTAAGTACTGCCTCTTCTGGAAGTGCCAAGCAATTCATTCTTTGTGACACATTTGCTGCTGAGACTTCAGATGACCACGACCAGACATGGGAGATTAAAGCAGCACGTTAACTTTTCCCACGACTGTATTACGAGGAACTGTATAATGTCAGCATTAGAGCTCATGTTTATAAATGTCTTAGAAGTAAAAAAGATCCAGATTCTCCTGTTCACTCCCCCAGCCAACCTTAAAATGTGGGAATAGCACTTAACGAATGGTTGTTTTTTAAGATTAGTCAATAATACTACTAGTATCGCTTAGTGTTAAATATTTGTAAGTCAAGTCCATGTTCTTTTCCTCATTTGTAAAATGGAGACGGTGACTCACAACCCCTTTCCAGTTTAGGATTAAAAAGCTGGTGACAAAACACAGACTAATCGGGGGGGGTGGGGCAGACAGGCCAGGGAGGGGAGTGTGCACTTCACAAACTGAGGGACGGCAGTCCTACCTTGGGAAGACCAGTTTTCCAGGCAGAGACAGGCGAGGAACGTCACGCCCAACATTGGGCCCCAGGTGGAGCTTCCGGGATAGCACGTCAAGGGGATTATCAGCCGGCTGCGTGGCCACTTTCACCATGACGTTGCTATTGAAGATGTAGGCTGAGAAAAACACCTGCCGAGTTGGAGAGAGGCCTTTAACAGAGGGAACTGGAAGCCACCCACGCTCAGCATCAGTCCTCACTGTTCTTCAGAGCTGTGACGTTGCTGCTTTCCTGACTGCACGTGCTGAGGAGAAAGAGCATCTCTGCCCTTCCTGTGCACTGCAGACTTTTGAACTTCTCCCCACAGTCAGAGATGAACCCTTACTGTGTGACTGGGTGTGCTCCCATCCCAGATAACCTTGTCCGCCTGTTAACTCTTCCACTGTAAGAGTCACACGCGGACTACCTACTGTAATGTCTCAACAGACAAGCAGGCGCGGACAGCCGCCTGCTCACCTCTTACTGCGTACAGCTCAGGACCAGAGGAGCGGTCACAGACAGTGGTCTTGCAGGCCAGACTTTGGACACTCTTGGTTGCCAGTTCTCAGGAGCGAACGCACCACTTAAGGGAGAGCAGGGGCTTCCAGGGAACACACACTTACCCAAAAGACGTCATAGATCAGAAGCCCTGAGAGAAGCAGGCAGGAGACCTTGAGGCTCGGCAGGCGGACGAAGGCGATCATGGCAACACAGAGGCCCATGGCCAGAGCTGGGGAGGAGACAGCACAGGCCGCAGTCAGTATGTGCAATACAGACTCATTCTCTTTCCACAAGCTATTCAGCTTCTAAACCTAAGAGTTTGCAAGTTTCCGCAAAAATTAGGCAGCCCTAAGCTCCAGTCTCAGACACGCATACCCCACTGGTGCAACTTTAGGTCCCTGGGTGGCGCAAACGGTTTGTGCTCAACTACTAACCTAAAGGTTGGCAGTTTGAACCCACCCAGCGATGCTGTGGAGGAAAGGCCTGGCAATCTGCTTCCATAAAGATTACAGCCAAGAAAATCCTATGGAGCAGTTCTACACGGTAACACATGGGTCACCGTGAGTCAGAATCGACTCAATGGCAGTAGGTTTTACTAGTGCAACTTTAGACCATGCTGACCTGTTGGTATTTGGGGAAATTTCTTTTCTCATGCTATAGTGCTCAACTGTTTAAGATCCAGGAGATTCCCTATTTTGAACTACAAAGTTCTAGCTTTTCAAGAAAGGAAAGAAACTGGTAGGACCATTGCCCCCAACTCCTCTTCCACATACCAATATCCAGAAACCTAAATGTCATAAATGGAGCCCTGGTGGTGCAACAGTTAAGTGCTTGGCTGCTAACTGAAAGGTTGGTAGTTCGAACCCACCCAGCAGCTCTGCAGGAGAAAAAACCTGGCAATCTGTTCCTGTCAAGATTACAGCCTAGAAAACCCTATGGGGTAGTTCTACTCTGTCATGTGGGGTTGCTATGAGTCAGAATCGACTCGACAGCATCTAGGAACAACAACAAATATCATAAAAAACAGATTTGCTCTGTTTGGGACATTCTAGTTCTTATTATTTCCTTTTCCCCATTACTATGGATAAGTCTTCCTTGCTTCTTGCTTTAAAGTCAATTTATACCCTAGACCATATCTCTTTTCATTTACTCAAATACATCATTTCAGCAAATCCTTCTCTCTACTAGATTTTCCAATCCATGTAAAAACATGCTACAATTTCCATCTTAAAAATCTCTTGTCCTGAAAATTCCCCTTCTGGCTACTACCCCCATCTCTCTGGTTTCCTTTACAGCAAAGGTCCTCTAAACAGTTGTGTATTTGAGCTGTCTCTAATTCCTTTCTTCCTATTTAAGTTTTTAGTAGTTATTACGAAAATAGCAACTGCATTGTAGAAACTAGAAGATACAGACAAGCAAAATTTGGAAAAAATTACATTCCTACTACCCAGAAATTACCACGTGAAATATCTTCCCAGAATTTTTTATATATGTATTTTTATTTAATCTAAATGAGATTACAAAAGCTGCCTTTTCTTAAAGCCAATAATCTCTAGTGTTCATTTCAGCGAATTTTCATCTCCTTTAATCAAATCTCATCAATAGACTCCAAGATGCCTTTTATAGATGGTTTGTCTAAGCTAGTGTCTAATCCAGGATCTGTGTATCTGTGTATGTCTTTATTTTTTTTTTTTCAGTCTGTGACTGTTGCTGTCGTTAGGTGCCGTCGAGTCGGTTCTGACTCATGGTGACCCTAGGTACAACAGAATGAAACACTGCCCAGTCCTGTGCCATCCTCACCATTGTTGCTATGTTTGAGCCCATTGTAGTGGCCCCTGTGTCAATCCATCTCTTGAGGGTCTCCCTCTTTTCTGCTGACCTTCTCTACTTTACCAAGCATGATGTCCTTCTCCAGGGAATGGTCCCTCCTGATAGCATGTCCAAAGTACGTGAGATGAAACCCCACCATCCTTGCTTCTGAAGAGCATTTTAATGTATTTCTTCCAAGACAGATTTGTTTGTTCTTCTGGCAGTTCATGGTATATTCAATGTTCTTGGTCAGTACCATAATTCAAAGGCATTAATTCTTCTTCAGTCTTCCTTACTCATTGCCCAGCTTTCACATGCGTATGTGGCGACTGAAAATACCATGGCTTGGGTCAGGTGCACCTTAGTCCTCAAAGTAACATCTTTGCTTTTTAACACTTCAAAGAGGTCTTTTGCAGCAGATCTGCCCAATGCAAAGCATCATTTGATTTCCTGACTGCTGCTTCCGTGGGCGTTGATTTTGGATCCAAGTAAAATGAAATGCTTGACAACTTCAATACTTTCTCTGTTTATCATGCTGTTGCTTACTGGTCCAGTTGTGAGGATTTTTGTTGTATGTTGAGGTGTAATCCATACCGAAGGCTGTGGTCTCTGATCTTTGCCATCAGTGCTTTAAATCCTCTTTGCTTTCAGCAAGCAAGATTGTGTCATCTGCAGAACGCAGGTTGCTAATGAGTCTTCCTCCAATCCTGACGCCACGATCTTCTTCATATAGACTACTAACTAACCTATAACCTAGCTTCTCGGATTGTTTGCTCAGCATACAGACGGAATAAGCATGGTGAAAGGATACAATCCTGATGCATACCTTTCCAGATTTTAAACCACACAGTATTCCCTTTGTTCTGTTTGAAAGACTACCTCTTGGTCTATGTACAGGTTCCTCGTGAGTACAACTAAGTATTCTGGAATTCCCATTCTTTGCAATGTTATCCGTAATTTGTTATGATCCACACAGTCAAATGCCTTTGCGTAATCAATAAAACACAGGTAAACATCTTTCTGGTATTCTCTGCTTTCAGCCAAGATCCACCTGACATCAGCATTGATATCCCTCGTTCCACATCCTCTTCTGAATCCAGCTTGAATTTCTGGCAGTTCCCTGTTGATGTACTGCTGCCAACTATTTTTGAATTATCTTCAGCAAAATCATACTTGCGCGTGATACTAATGATATTGTTTGATAATTTCCACATTCTGTTGGATCACCTTTCTTTGGAATGGGCACAAACATGGATCTCTTCCAGTCGGTAGGCCAGGTAGCTGTCTTCCAAATTTCTTAGTACACATGAGTGAGTGCTTCCAGCATTGCATCTGTTTGTTAAAACATCTCAATTGGTATTCCATCAATTCCCGGAGGCTTGTTTTTCACCAACGCCTTCAGTGCAGCTTGGACTTCTTCCTCCAATACCATGGGTTCTTGATCATACACTACCTCCTGAAATGGCTGAACGTCGACCAATTCTTTTTGGTACGGTGACTCCGTGTATTCCTTCCAACTTCTTTTGATGCTTCTTGCGTTGTTTAGTATTTTCCCCGTAGAATCCTTCAGTATTGTAACTTGTGGCTGGAATTTTTTCTTCAGTTCTTTTCAGCCTGAGAAATGCTGGGAGTGTTCTTCCCTTTTGGTTTTCTAACTCCAGGTCTTTGTACATTTTATTATAATAAAATTTCAGTCTGGTACGGTCCTTTTTTTTTTTTTTTTTTTAAAATAATGACTTCTTGAGGCTGGGCCATTTGTTCAACAGAATGTCCAAACTTCTCAGTTTCTCTGGTGTTTCCCTACTGTGGTTGGCCCCTTCCTCTATCCTTGTGCATTAACTATAAACGGGAAGTTACTATCTAAAGATTAGATAAATTCAAGCCATTCTCTTTCATCCCTATTACTCCGAAACTGTTTTCTTGGGTTACCAGGGACACTCCTTATGTAAACCCAACGATCAATCTCTGTCCTTATCTTACCTGACCCAGTGGATTGCTCCCTTCTTCTGGAAACACTTTCTCACTTGACTGTGAGGAAACCACACTCTACTGGTTCCTCCTACTTCACAGGCAGCTCCTTCTCAGGCTCCTCTGTAGCTCTTCCTCAATTCCCAGACCTCCTTGGGCTCATCCTCAGATCTTTTTCTTACCTCTCTTCACCCCCTTGGGAATCTCAATCCAATCTCCAGGCTTTAGAGGCTATATGTTGTCAATGCCTACATTTTTATTTACCATCTGTCTCTCTCCTTGGAACTCCTGACTTATACAGGGCCTAAGTGACATCATCACTTAGATGTCTACTGTTGCTGTTAGTTGCCCTTGAGTCAGCTCTGACTTCACAGTGACTTTATATATAACAGAAGAAAATACCATCCAGTCCTGTACCTTATGTAATAGAAGAAAACACTATCCAGTCTGTGCCTTCTTCATGATTATTACTGGTACATTTGAGTCCACTGTTGCAGCTATTGTGCCAATCCATCTCATTAAGGGTTTCCTTTGTTTTCGTTGGCCATTTACTTTACTAAACCTGTTGTCTTTTTCTAGTGATTGGTCTTTCCTGACGACATGTCCAAAGTACGTGTGTCAAAGTCTCACCAAACTTGCTACTAAGGAGCATTCAGATTGTATTTCTTCTCAGACTGATTCGTTCGGTTCTTTTAGCAGACCACGATGAAAACCCTATGGACGTCTAATGAACCAGATGCCATCGAGTGGATTTTGACTCATGGTGACTCCATGTGTGTCAGAGTAGAACTGTCTGCCATAGGGTTTTCAATGGCTCATTGAAGTACATTGCCCAGTTTCTTCCAAAACACTTCTGGGTGGACTTGAACCTCCAACCTTTTGGTTAGTAGCCGAGTGCATTAAGTTAACCATTTGCACCACCCAGGGACTCTATGGATGTCTAACAGGCATCTCAAATTTAATAAGTTCAAAACTCAACTCTTCTCTAAATAGACTCCCGCCTTAGTCTCCTATCTCAGTGCATTTATTCTAGTCTTCCTGTTGTGCAGGCGAAAATCTGTGGAGTCATTTTGGACTCTTCTCTTCTCTCACAGCCAGCCTGGCACAACCACTGTCATCTCATTCCTGGATGGCTGCAATAACCTCCTACACTTGGTCTTTGTCTCCATCTTGTCCCCTAGAGTCTCTTCTCCTCCACACAGGAGACAAATATTTCCTTAAAACTGAAGTCAGGTTTTATCGGTCCCCTGCTCAAAACCCTTAACCAACTTCCCATTTCATACAGAGAAAAAGCCAAAATCTTCAGTGGTTGATAAGGTCCTACTATCTTCAGACCATCTCCTATATTTCCTTGCGCTAGTCACACTGGCCTTGCAGTTCCTCCAATTCACCTGGCAGGTTCCTGAGTCAGTGCTTCTGCACTTGCTGTTCCCCCTGCCTTGAACAATTTTA